GATGTACAGGTCACTTCCCTCTCAAGTGTCTGCATATATGTGTGTGTGTGTATATATGTGTGTGTGCATATGTGTTCATATGTTTGTTCAGACATGGCAGCCCTCTTTGGGTGCAATGGGAAATCTTCACGCGGCTTAAAGCCCGGCTGCCATGGCAACATAATGAGATGCTAATTGAATGGAGGCCTGTATGGTTTGCCCCTCTGCTCATCCCCCCTCAGATAGGCTAGGGCCAAAGCTAATGCTAAAAGAACTCACTCAATAGAAGCTTTTCAGAAGCAGCGCCGCTTCCCCCCGCTTTCCCCCAATGCTCTATAAATTAACCTCCCATGCAGTGCACACATGCATGCACTCACGCACATCCACGCACTCACACAGGAGTCTGAATGTCTTTCAAAGGGTGTGTCAGTCCAGGCATTGTGAGGCTAGGCAACTTAATTGGTTTAACCTTAAATCTTTGGCATTCCTTTCTATTTAGAATTCTGCTCTTTGCATTGGGTAAGGGACATTTAACTGCTTTTATCTCATTAGCATAAGAAGCCAACTTTCTCTTTAAGGCCTATTATAAAATACAGTATCTTAACTTTTGGTTGACCCTATGCAGGACAGGTGAAAGTTGCTTCCCAGGATACCTCTCTTGTGTTGTGCAAATTAACGTGCTACAAGTGTTGGTGAATGGAGGCAGAATCAAAAACGGGCTAATGCCCTTAGCTATACGAGTGCAAGTTTGCTCTGTGTCTGACAGCATGTTAGCTGAGTGGGATGTAAAGCATTAGTAATTTTCAGAATGATAAGCTGTGAGTGCCGTTCATGCTTTAGCATGAGGCTTCACAACATATGGTACTACTGCAGAGATGTGCAACTGCGAGTAACGTTTTGGAAAATATGCATTAGTTGCACAATGCAGAAAAGGTCAAATACAACAGAGAAACACACTATAGAGCCTGTAGATAGTTTACATCAGGAAAAAAAAAGCATGACAGTTCAATGAGTGATGATTGCGTAGACAACTATCATTTGAATCACATGCTCAGGCACAGCTCCTATCCTGTGTGACTGAGCTGCTGTCCAGGAAAGACGATAGACCGGCACGTAGCATGGTTTGGACACACAGCTGCGCGTCTCCATTTTTGCCTCTTACTGGAAGTTTTCACTGCGCTCAGCATAAATCACAACAATGCACACATGTATGCGTGTGTGTAGTGACTGTGTTTTTTGCATGGTTACAAGGCGGGCCACCTGGAGCGAGGTGATCTCCGGTGTTCTAGTAGAGACAATGAAAGGGAGCGACCCTGTGCGACAGTGGCAGTGTCCACAGGAAGAGCAGAGGGACGACCTCTTCAGGGGTCATGGAAGAGGTCAGAGGTCGCATGGAAGGGAAGACAGAAGGTCATATGGCAGGAAAATAGAAAATCATACAGATAAAACGGACACAGTTGATAAAACTCAACATGTATTTAAGTGTATTTTAAGTGTATGAGCATTTTCCTGCCATTTACAAACACTGTCCACTCTTAGCAGCAAATAACAGCTCCGTGAGGGCTGCAACACTCAAAGTGATAAAGATGCTGACAAGGTAATTCTTCATATGGCATGGCTTACATTTCCATCTGATTATCAATCGCATGAGCTGGGATTCCACATCCAGTAGCAAAAATGCCACTAAACGTAGTCTGACAAACCCGTTAGAGCCAACAATCGACAATTTGTACCTCGTGTCTGTGCACACGTGGGCTTTCACCACCTTCCATTTACGTCTGCTGTTAACCTCACTGATAAGCTTGTGGGTCAACAATACCCACCAATCAATCACATTCCAAAACAGGAAGTCCCCAGCTTGAACCCGCCTGCCTTTTGAGAGTGCTCTGTTATCATCACTGGCATAGCAGGAGTTATGGGAGCTGTGCCCACCACCCTCCTGCTAGCAAAGCGACAAGGAGACACACAGACGCAGGGGTGGCACAGCCCCCCAGCCCCCGAGATGAAGTCTGGGTAATCTCCTCTGGGTGCTATTGTCCTGCAGAGAGGTGATGATGGGGGTATCCGTGTCCGTGCGTGTGAACGTGCACGCGTGTCCCTTGCGGGGCTGTGAGGAATGTGTCTGAGGAATGGAGGGGGCTTGTCTATCAGTCTGCCTGCACATGATAAATCACTCTACCTGCAACCCATTCACCACGGCGGAGAGTGGACAATGGGCTTTGTAACAGAGAGGAGAGGGGCTGGCGGTGAAGGATGGATTACAAAAAAAGAAAGGTTCTGAGGGGCAGGAAGGAGATTTTGTCCTCGAGCATAAAAACTTTAAAAATTAGGTTAATTAGATAAAGGATGATACAAAGCGCCTCATATCTAACTTTCACACCAAAAATGGAGCTTGAGGCTTTGTAGGAAGAGAAACAGATAGAAAGAAGGGAAGTGACAGAGGTGAAGAGAGGGGTAAAATATGGAACTGTTACATTAGACTCACTGTGAGATAAAGTCGGAATACTTATGAAAAAGGAGATGGAGGACAGAGAAAAAACAGACTGACAGGAGGAAGAGGGAGAACAGTACAGTTACAGGCTCTTTGTGGGCCTCTCTCGAAGCAGCAGAGAGACGTCATTCGAAAATCTGGCATCTGGTTCCCATCATCCTCAGCATTTTGTCTGTGCAACATATACAGCCTTAGGAGAGGAGATCATGTCTGTGGTATGCACTTCCTCTGCCGCACGTGGTCTTCACGTGAACATGACAATTCCACTGAGGGTCACACAAGGGTGACGGTCAGGAACAAATGCATGAAATTAGGAAGAATGATGATAAAGTAACACTAACATTTATTTCTCCTCTGGCCCCAGCAAACATGGAACTGGGCTTTGACTGGGGCTTCCAATCCCTGCATTAATCTTTCTATCCACTCGTCTTCACCAAAACACTTCTTTAAATGAGATAGGGATTTTTTTTTTGATCCAAGGAACTTGCACTGTATAGAAATCTTCATTAATCATCTTGATGTAAGCAAATATTTGAATATATTCTTGCCTAACAGAAACCAAACAAACCCAGTGCCTGTAAAGAGGTCAAATGTTTGTGAGAGTTCTTTAGCAGACCAACTTGGATTGCTTTAAATCTGTATGACAGTGTATAACAGTAATCTAACGGCGGGACATGGTGGAGAAATTTCACGTGCACAAAATTCAGTGGTGTGCGAAAATGAACACACACACTTTGTGTTACAGGAACCAGTGAAAAGGAACCCCACCCATGCCCGGTTCCATCCTGCTCTTTCATTCATGCATCTTTGCTGTAATCATTTGGCCATCACCCTCTCTGTCTCCCCCTCTCTCCCCTGCTGGACACAAAGGCAGGAAGGAAACATGGACGGCCAGAGAACGGAGAATGGTTGCTTCCTCCGCCTGACCTGCTCAGTCCAGCAGTCAGTGGTTTTCCTTTAACCACAGCAGGGATGTGACTGGGGGAGATTAGGGACCCCACCTCGTAAGCTGGTAATTAGTTAGTAATTAAGTTGTTCTATGTGTTTGCACTAAATATACAAATTATACTTAAATTAGTTATTTTTCACGATATTTTTAGATCAAAATTCCTTCTTATTCTTTTTAAATATCAAATATTTCAATGTATTAACTTATTAATATACTGAAAGTGAATTTTACGTGTCAGTCAGGAAATCAGCATTTTCATTTACGTTTTTATGTCTAAGGCCAATGTCGGTCAAAGCTGAACCTGTGTCAAACGCCCACTCACACGTCACCACACTCATCCACGAGTTTAGAGTTTTCCACCTGCGGAGGTGACCTTGGCACCCCATGGGCGACCTTTTGTACAAGCTGTCACACAAGAGATCTATCAATCACATGAGCTGCATGTGGAGGTGCGTGCATTTCCATTTGCCTCTCTCCATCTTCAGCGGCGGACACTCAGAAAGGCCATGTGTGATCCGCGATTTCGTGTGCAGGCATGTACGGTTTGATGTGATCCAGACGCAGGCTGCGTTGCACATTGTTTTGACATGCAACAGACACACATTTCAATCCAAGCATTCATTTCATGGTTCCACACTGGCTCTGGTCACATGTTACAGTGATAGAGTGAAAAAAAAAAAACAAATAAAAAAAACGTACTTTCTGTCCGTTTCTGGAGTCGACACTTCACTGCTGAAGCCTAATGATTCCTGAGGACAGAGAGAAGGAGACAGGCATGTGTAAAACAGACACAGTAAAGCCACACATGTTACTTTTATGCAGCTTCAAGTGTTTTGGGAACATAATGTCTCTGCCTACCTGGATCTCATTACGGAGCTGCAGAGAGGTGCTGCTTGGGTCTTGTTTCTCCTGAGAAAGAGAAAGAGAAGTAAAGAAGGTCAGGTGTCAGTGTCAGAGATCAATCACTTAATATCACAGGGGACTAAAAAGGTTAAACAAGTTCTGCATATGGAGAAGAAAGGTCAGTTGACACCAGAAACAGTGGATGTTTAACAATGCATTCATGTGGGAAAGACGTTCTTTGGTCAGGTTCATGTAGACACACCTGCATGTGACTGAAAACAAACACGAGCACGTGTGCCCAGCCCTCCGCCGACAGCTCGACAAGTCAAGTCTTGCTTTGGGTATCAGAACCTGCAATACCTGTTTTAATTGTTACAGAATACCGATGGGCAGTGGTGCAGTCTTTTTCTAGAGAACAAGACATGACAAAAGCACTCGACACACCAGAGTCTCCATGAATTCCACTGTGTGCTTCCAGTGACGTCAGTGTGCCCCTCCCTGAACACAAGGTAACACCTGCTGGTTTGCATCACATCTTTAGAAGACAACACACCACATTTGACTAAATGAAACGGCAGCACACAAGAGAAAACCGGCTTCTGTGGAAAACAGATTTCCAGACCGGGTAAAGCTTCAGACATGAATTTCAGGAACAAACTACTTAAATGACTGTCGTGTACAAAAACAGAGGAAAATGTCTGTGTCAGGGTTGTTTTCACTGCTACACAGGGCTGGTTCTCGCATATGCCTAAAGCAGGTGTGCTCTTTATGGCCTATCCAGATACAGCTGTGCCTCAAAACAAATACTCTGACAGACATGGGGACTACACAACCACAACAAGTCTGCTACTTACATTTCAAACTGGAGCATGTGATCATTTAAAGCCAACGAACAGCCTTGAGGGATTGGTGGAGTGCATAGTTTCTTGGTGGTGTCTTCTAGTGTGCTCTCGACTCTCATGGAGGAGATTACCTAACTCCTTGTGCCACAGTCTTATAGTGTGGGCTCCTAAGCACCACAGAAAGCACTTAGCTTAAGGGGAGTAACCAGATTTTCACAGGCCTGGATCCCTAACCTTGAGGTTACTGTCATGTCAACATTGTTCATTTCTAATGGTCATATTTCTGCTCACTGCACAATGAGAAATATGTGGCTTTACTCTCCATGCCTGGGGCATGGGAGTGAGCTTAGATGGGGTTAGTCAACAAGATGCTTTAGTAAGTTATTTTAAGGGGAGCTCTTTTTGCTTTGATATATTGGGACATTTTTGAGGAAGTGTCAATGTCATAGTCTTGTCGAAATTCAGGTCATGACATTTGGGTCTGACTGAGAAAACATAAGCTAAAACAAGTTCCTGTTTCTACTTTCTGTCTGACTTCATATTTCACCAGATACAGAGGAATTACAAGAAACATCTTATGATGCGTTGGCTGATATTACCATCTCTATTTTTGGTACATACACAAAATGAAATGAGAAAAAGACATTTCAAGGATTTGGATGTTAATAACACAAACACTCCAATGCATCTTGTTTAGTTTCTCTAGAAGTCTGTGGCTGAAATTGAAGGTTTAACAGAACTCTCCCTGCTAAAGCTGAAGTGAATTCCCTCATCTTGTACAGATATTCTATTCATCAGTTTGAGGGGCATTTTAACTTTTCATTGCACTAGAAAACGCTTGCATAAAGGAGTTGACATTAGTGAAGCGAGGATGCCTACAGGGCCCTGAGGAAGGCAGGTTGACGGCTGCTAGGCGACTACCTTCCTAAAAGCACTAAATGGAAGTTGCTGCTGCTGCTGCCACAAAGAAATGACAAATGGAACCTGGAGTTTCCCATATGGAGAGTGGGAATCGGAAAAGAGTTATTTATGAGAAAATGCGCATCATCCTCTATCTCCACACCCAGATATTAGATTGTAGGATAACAGTCATAGGAAGCTGGATGTTGTACGCTTCCTTCACTTGGTCTGTTCATGCTTCCTAGTCAGAGTGACCTTAAGTTTAACCTTTTTTCTTCTCTGACTGGGCTTCGGGGAAGGGGAGTACAATCCTTCCACACCCTTGCCCACTAAGCACGAGTAATACTTAAAGGACTTAGTCAGAAGTGACATAACCTCCTTTAAGAGCTCTTTAAGAGCCTGCAGCCCTCGGGTCATATCAGCTGAAGACCTGAAGTGCTGAGGTGGGTAAAAGCCTCAAAATTAGCCTGAACCCTACACTTATCACAGCTGCAATCAACTGAAGGCAGAGTGTAAAGATGTTAGCGAGACAATCTGGCGGGCTTTATCTTTATCTTTAGCACTACAAGTCCTCCTAGCTCATTCGTCTGCTTATCCATGTGTCTGTTACGGTGATCAAGCGGGCAGAGGGACGGGTCCGGAAGTTTCTTTGGGAAGTAAATCAAGTAATGTCAAAAGAGCCCCAAAACAATTTGTCCATCCCAGGGAATATAGGGATTCCCATAAGTCAGAGAGCAGGTACCTGTCTAAGGTCATAAAAACTTCACCTACCAGACCTACAGAGGTACAAGGGTTGGTCTTGTTACATTGTCAGGCTGTGCACTAGGAAAATCTGGGACAGGGCTATATGGCTCTTTTTTTGGGGCAGAGCTTATGAGACAAAGAAACAACACATCTATCCCTTAAACAAGCACAACTTCAGCAGTCAGCTCTGTTTAAACAACTGCATTGTGCAGAATAATGTGGGTGTACTCAGAAAAAAAGGTACATAAAGAAGGAGAGGCACTGTGAACTGCATGTGTGCCCACATGCACAGTCCTGGATACTTTCACAAGGGCAGTGGCAGATCGGTTCTGCTATCAGATCCTCTTTGGTGGCTTCTCTGGACTGCAGTGACAGGAGAGATATGCCAGTGTTGCCAGTTGATCACTACAGGCACTGTGCCAGCTGGTTGTTAAAATTATTTTAAAATACACTGCCACACTGTCAGCTCACGGCATCACACACGGACTCACACAAAAAAAAAGATACAGACCCTGACATAGTCACATACATAACACAGAAATAAATTTGGACAGACACCCAACACACACACACACACAGCTCGCCTCCACTTCCACAGATAGAGCCCCTAAGAGACAGACACAAAGCGGCCCTCTGTTCCACCTACTCCTCCTCAGCTTCCCCTTACTCCCCGTCTGTGTGGGCCATCTCTGACATGGAAAGACGGAGTGAGAGGGCGAAAAAAAACGAGGAGAAGATCAGCGAAAAATAAAAACAAGACCTGCATCCCGTTTTCCTTACACTGCGGATCTGTGAGATGAATCTGTCGCAACGATAAAAATTTGGTGTAAAAGCTTCCCAAGGTAAACGTGGGCTTCTGTCAGACTTGTGCATCGCTAATGGAAGAGAAAAAGTGAACGGTGAACAAGTTGCCAGCAGAACTGACACTTTCGGAAAGAGAATATCTAATCGATGCATATTTGAGGGGGGTGTCTGTATATATATATATATATGTGTGTGTGTGTGTGTGTGTGTGTGTGTGTGTCTGAACCTTAGTTCTCACATCACACTCCCAGAGGGGGCATGCTATCCTTTGCATAAAATTACCAGCATCAGCTTGAGATACTGCCCTAGTTACCCCGGATCGGCAACTATGTGTATGTGAGTGTGCCATGTGTTTTCCCTCCAGATGTCCAAAGGGTTGTTTGTGCGCAATCCGCTCTGTGTGTGTACGTGCGTGCAAGTGTGATGCGAACGCAAGACCCTGATTGCTTAAGCGTGACTGAATTGAGTTAAAATAAAAAGAGAGAGAAGGCGGTACGGAAGCACGCAAGAGAGAGCGCTCTGGCTAATGAGGATCACGATGTCGGCAGACAGGGAAACTAGCATCGGAAACTTCCCAGCCCCAACACACACACACACACACACACACGGCATCAAAAGCTCCTGTAAAGTGACTGCAATTCCAAGCACCACGTTGCTTTCCATCATTAAGCCAGAAACTACTGCTAAATTCTGTTTTGCTGCTGCAGGACCAGACTGCTAATGAGAGGGAGAGGATAGAACTACAGATGAGTGTTAAATGGCGGCAGTTTAGTCCAAACATGACTGCAAGGCCCACCAAAGACATGAGTTCGCCACAGTGGAGTTAGAGCCAACCTCAGAGGCAAAAATAGGGAGTGTATGCGGCAAAACTAGAGACCAGGTGGCTCGGTGGAGGTATGCCAACTGGAATGGTTGAGTAAAACTGGGTGGGCGAATATGAGGCTGCTTGGAAGGACTGCTCATGTGGAGGGACAGGTACCAACTGGAAAGCCCGGAGCGAGCCAAGAAAGACGTTAGCGGTGGGACCAGTATGGCACGGTGAAAGCCAGCAGAACCGGCTCATTTGGAAGATCTCATAGCAAGATCTACACACATTCACTTATGATTCTTTCACACACACACACACACACACACACACACACACACACACACACACACAAGCCTGCATCACCATTAAAATCTCACACACAAAAGCAGGAAACTCATGTTCTCAGTGGGCAGTATAAACCAGCATGCCATGCCACCTCTGAGCTGCTTTAAATTCACCTATGAGAAACAAAAAAACCATGACCACACTCAGCAACACCTCTACCTGCTTCCGTTCCAGAAGTTTTGAGAGTATGTGTGTGTATGTGTGTGCGTGTGTGTGTGTGTGTGTGTGTGTGTGTGTGTGCATACTTGCAGCAGAGGCTTGTATGCCTACAGCGTGGAGCATTCCTGAGCCTTGTGGATCATCATTGTTTTGGTATTTCAAGACAAATACCAGAGCTATTACACATTACAAAGGACAGTCACAATCCCATCACTGACTAATAAATCGTACAATAAAATTACAAATATACCATTTGATTTCCACAGGGGTTATGCCAATAACAGCTATGCCAACATCATTTGAACAGTGATCTTATTGCAACAAAGATGTGTGTGTGTGTGTGTGTGTGTGTGTGTGTGTGTGTGTGTGTGTGTGTGTGTGTGTGTGTGTGTTTGAGCGTGTTGACTCACGACATTTCTGGGCAAAGCCCTGAAGGTAGAAAGAACAAATAAGCAGCAGAATTCCCTACAGTTTGTCTTTCTGCTACACTGTAGTTTTAACCCAGCTGAACTGACCCACTTTGACTGACGAACTTGACGCAGGCATTAGCACATTATCCACACTGTTCCTCACCTCATGGCAAAACAAAACACAAGTCTGTACTTGACCCCCCGACTGTCCAACTACTCAGCTAGAAAAGCATAACAAAGCATTCCTGAGGCGAGCAGATCAGTCCGACACCAGCTGAGTCGTTTTTGTGTCAAAAGTGCTTCAGTCATGAAGTCAACAGTGACACCAGCAACTCAAGGATTTTGGCCAAAGCATCAAAAGGATGTAATCTTAATCCTCTCTGTTTACCACAATTGAACAATAGCCTGAAGGATATCACCAAAAGACACTGTTGCAATGTCTCACCACTGTTACAGCATGTAGAAATGTGTGAAAAAGGTTTGTCTCACAACCACAAATTCCACAATGATCCATCTTGATCTGTCTTTAATGTGTGTCATTTCTTTTATCACAGTGGTTTGAGAGAGATGCTATCATCTAGTTTGATGTTTTCCTCCTTCGGCTATACACGATTATCCACCCCATCAACCGGTCTCTGCGTGTCTTGCATGGATGGGATCCCTCCTGTAGCTTCTGCATCCATTTGGCATATTTTCACCTTCAGCAGCAAAAAAAAAACAGTCACACTGACACTGAATAACATGAGTATGTGGCTGCGGTGGCAAAGGTTAAAGAACAGAGGCAATGCTAGATGTGAAAAAGGAACAGAAAACAAGAAAATGACAGACAAGAAATTGCAGATCTGATAAAGTGTTATGGTCACATTAACTTCAAATCACTCAGAGTACGATGTATGTCATCGCGGCCGTTAACCTGATCATTCTAAGAATTTTCTTGATAGATCAAATTTGACAACTTGAAAAATTCACTTCCTGAACTGATGCACCTTATTCCGATTCATGAGATTTGATATCACAGGTAGCACAGAAGAACTTGGGGGGTGAGAAGAAAATGTCAACACCATCACCTCTTTCCATAAAAGACAAATTGCTTCTGAAAGTTTTTCTGAAAAGGACAATGACAGAATATGAAAACAAACGTATAAGCTCTGTAATTATGTATGGAAATGAAATGATGTGGAAGTGAACAGCCCTCTTTGCCTGTAAGCGCCATGTTATTTCTAATGGGCTTAACGTTTTTGTAATTTGTTAAATAGGTGGAAGAGACAACAAAGATTAAACACTTAATTATACAAATTACATTGACAGCAATTACACCGGCAATTATCCACAACATAGACCTGCTTAAAGGATGGATCTGAAATTTATAGCTCAGGCTAAAAGGTAATCTTTAGCCTTTGGCCTCACCGTTCACTGACCCGTCACTTAAAACAACAACGTTTTGTTTAAGTTGCTGAACTTGTTCTATTGCTCCATTTTGATACTTCCTGCCACTTCCAACAATAAAGCTCACGCATCACCAAACCAGCACGCCAGCGAGAGCCATCCAAACTCTTGCTGTCTATGGAAGCGCTGGGAAACTGTTGCATGGTAGCACTAATCCATAGGTCACATTCCCAAAGGGGGATGTTTATTTAACTCCTTGTGTCCCCGCGACTCATAAAACTAACACCAAGATGCATAGAAATAACCCAATCTGAGAGCGAGCAGGAAGCGGGTAACGTCGATAGGCATCTCTGAGAGCCTCCATCATCGGCTCCTAATAGACCCTTCAAGTTTTACCACAACAGAGACAGCTATCGCTTCGTTAATTGAGAGGCCCCTCAAGAGTTGGCAGACATGGGGGGGGGGGGACAAACACAAATGATAAGTTTCCAAACATTTCTGTAAAAATGTTAGTGATGCTAGAAAAAAAAAAAAAGCAAACAAAGCAAAAAAAAAACCCACAAAAACAAACCCAAACAGAAACCAGAGCGTTCCCACTCGCCAGCCTGAGAGTCAACATGAGAAAGTTTTGGAGAACAGAAAGTTAAATAAGAGAGCTTCTTCTTTCTTTTTGGTGTCACCTCTCTGACAACAGCTAGACTATAGACACTGGGGCTTTCACAGGGACTTTTCCAAGAGCAATCTGCGGAATGTGTTGTAAACAAAGTTAATATACGAAGTCCTTGAACCAGTCAGTCGCACCGACACCTCCTTCATCCTGACATCTGCCTCCTCCTGTAGTCTGAGTGTGAAGACAAGGACAGGTCAAAGTTAAAGCGACCTTTGCTCTCAAAGACGTGAGCCTACTGACCAGAGCTGATCTGGAGCGACTGAGTGACCTCCTTTGTCTCAAAAAGTTACGTTATGAAAGATGCGAAAGGATTGAAGTTACCCTGTCAAAAAAATAGAAAGGATCTGACCTATACGTTTTTATTCAGACGAAAAGAAAGACAATGACCGGAGAGGGAGTAGGTCTTGTGGAGACCAGACTGCTCTACCACCATCCTGTACCCTTTACAAGTGACAGGTCTTTCCCTAAAGGCCACGTCCCTCAGGAGTGCCACTTGCTAAATGTCTCCCCATTAACGTGGCTCGTGGACATTGTGACCTTCTCAAATCATTTGCTATTGGGCCCTGAGGGAGACGGCTGCATGACGCTGGCTCTCAGCCACTGATTTCTGGACACACTTCACAAGATACAATAGTCGTTCACTTCTCCCTCTCTCTCTTTCTCTCTCTCTCTCTCTCTCTCTCTAACTGGGTGTCCATTCCACTGTCTGCCCTTATTCTCAGTTCATCTGAGCCTCTTGTGCTCTGCCTCTCTCTCTCTCTCTCTCTCTCTCTCTGTCTGTCTCCCCCCTGACTCTTCTTGTGTGTTACTTTCACAATGTATTTCACTTTGTCTTACAGATACTGCGCCACAGCCTGTGAGACTATGACAGTGAAAGCTGAAAACAAAAACATCAATAATGCCTAAGAGGAGGAATTTTTGTCTTTGACTACTCTTACCCTTGGAAGCTCGGTAGAGAAAAGGCTGCTGTGCACTTGAATAATGGCCAAAGCTAATTTTAGAAAAAGTATAAAATGCAATGCAAAGTTCAGTCCATATAGCGTGGGTTGATACTGTGTGTTGTCTGACCCATATTCCTTCCGTCATGTTTTTTTCATTCTCCTCATCTCCTACATTTTGGTGCCAAACTTTGCAGAGTGGCGGGACAGCTGCAGGCTCTCACATTCCCCACTCCTCCTCTTCATTCCCCTCATCCTCCTCCCTTCGTCTTCCTCTGCTCACATCCTTATCCTCCTCCTGTGCTCGGGCTTCAGGCTCAGGGCCCAGTCAGCTCTTTCTCTCTCTTCTTCTACGCAGGCTGCAAAAATCTGCCCAGATTGCTTCCCCTTCCCCTGTTTTATCTCCTCAGGATGAGACCTTCTCAAACTACAAAACATCCAGAGGTAATCCTTATTACTCTGAGAGTCACTTGATGGGAAAAGAAAGATCAATGTCTGTGGCCACACAGAAAGAACACTTAACCTTTGATCAGATGCAAAATGCATCTAAGTAACCACAGCTAGGATTTCTTTTTTTTTATGCTTTCCTATCCCTCTCCTGAAAGCTGTGAGAACAGGATGTCTGCCTGCAATAAATCAGCTATTCATCCAAGCTATACCTGTCAGCCCAAGCAAAACCACATGGCTGCCTTCAAGCAGAAGAGGCCTCTTATTGAACTTGAAAACCAGTAATGTCAGACAAAAACATATCAACAGACAATTTGGATGGGAGCTCAAATAAGAAAAGCTGAGGTAACATGATATCAACGTGAGCAAAATCTGTGGTGAGAGAACTGAGGCATCATTTTGTCAGGGATCAGTTTTACTTGTGGCACCTACCAGCCTTATTTTTTCTAAGTTGGACATTTTACTTTTACTTTTTTGTATCTATTTGTTTTAGAAATTGAGCCCAAATTGCATTTTCTAAAGCTTCAAACTAATTAAATTCACCATGAATAAGTCATATGAAGTAAGCATAGCACTCCACACTTGCTCCGGTTTGTGTGTGCAGCACCAGCAGCATACCATCCTACGTTTGCTGGCAGCTTGGCAACCAAAAGGGGTGCCCCACTACCCTACATCCTTGTGAAAAGGACCCTCAAAGTCCCCCATGAACCTCCAGAACAGCACTGCATTCACATCCAGTAAAGGCAAAATGCCTTTGGTGAAAGTCTTAAAACCTAAGTGCACATTCATATTCCTTCTGTTGCTGTTTGTCTCTGCCAGGTTGTTGGCTACAATTGTGGAAATTACCCAGTGTAAAGCCACAAGACTCTTCTTAAAAGGGGATTTTTAGGGTCATTATTAAAAGATTTGCAAAAAGAAAAAAAAAAAAAAGAATCATTTGTCCAATGCAATTTGTAGGCAAGCAAGATGAGATGGCAGCTGTTTTTAGTTGCTATGCAAGGTTTTTCTAAGTGTCTGCATCTGTATCTGTGTGTGTGTGTGTGTGTGTGTGTGTGTGTGTGTGTGTATGTGTGTATGTTTATGTGCGTGTAAGCATACATTTACCATGTCAAGCTCTTGGGAGACTCGTCGCTTGCGTAGCTCCTCCATGCGGTCGCTGACGTCACTGAAGCAGGTGTTGTAGTACTCAGAGTACTCCTGGGCAAGGTCATCTATGTTGCCCAGAGAACCATCCTGGAAGAGAGGAAGAGAGGAAATGGTTGGTTTAGCCTAGGAACTACAACATCCTGAGAACAGACAGCTGACAATCTAATCGTACAGAGAAAAAAGAAAAAGTCTGTCATCTGCAAAAATCTCCTTTTGGACAACTTGTTATTCTGACGGTAAATCACTGAAAAACTTCATTTAAAAAAAAAACAAAAAAACAAAAGAAAAACATTTGAACATCCCACCAGCGCCTCGGGGAAGGAAAAAGCCTGGTCAAGTTAGTTGTGAGAAGCTCATGCCCCTCCATCGTCTCCATTTACCCTAAGCACAGCTTTATAAAACCACTTACAATTAGTGGTGTATGGACTTCACTGACAGGCACGCATTTGGTGTGGCACAGGAACACAAACATAGTCACTCACACATCGCCATTTTCTACGCTGCCTCACAGATCAACTAGTGCAAACTGAGAAAACACACATGCATTGTGGCACGTGTTGTTCATATCACACCAATCTGCTCACATTCCCCCCATACAAACTGAAAAAACCTAAAAATGCGCCTCAATAAAAGGTCTGTGTATTTTGGACATTTATTGATTCTTATCGAATCACATTCAGTGAGTGGTTTGTCCCATGGTTTTGTCCGCGTCGTATCTAGGATGCCCTTTACCTCCTCAGACATTCAACGAACTCCAAAGCAAACACACACTTCCTGCTCGCTGTAGTTTAGATCCGCGCAGTTCCTGTCTTTGTCTGGTAGGCATGTGTTTAGGATTGCGAGAGGAAGCTGTGCTCCAAACAGTAGGGAGCTCGACCAAAAGAATACACTTTGGATATAATGCTGAAGATTGGCCTCTAGGTTACTCCTGGAAACATTAATAGTGTCGTGACGTCAGACCTGGGTTCTATGGACACCAGTGAGCAAATACAAATCGTCAACACACGGCTCTCGATCATGCAAAGTTAGTCGGGATCAGTTCCTTTTACACGGGACTGTGTTCCAAACACTGAAATGTATCCTCAAGTTGCGACATATGCACAAATGATCTAGGTTTTAGTCCCTGCACTTATCCGGCTAACCTTATAGTCTTGACATGAGACCAAAAAAAAAAAAAAAATATGAGAATATGAGAAATTAATTTATTTCTGAAATTAAGCCCTTCAGATTCTCTGCAGGAAGTAGAGCAATGTCTTTCGTACGAAGTGAGAGAAGACCGACTCCCATCTCTCGCCTTGATTGAAATGTAGGCCACTCTGGCGATGAAGGCCAACTGCTGAATATTCATCAGTGTTGATCTAATCTGTGCCAGGCAGACAGCGAGCATTGAGTCACTGTGCAGGGTCCGAACAGTCTCTCTCAGTCTCTGTCTTTCTCAACCGGACTCCCTATCTGGGTGCCAGGCCACAAATGAATGGATCACTGTGAGTGTGAGTGAGAGTGTCCCACACATACACATATATATATATACACATACACACACACACAGGCATAGGGCCTTCTTCAGAGATGGGTGTCTAGTCAGAGAGAACACACATTAGCATGCACACACATGCAGGCAGGAGATTTCAAAAACATCAGACCAAAACAAACTGAAGCACACCAGTCCCACACAACGCAGCACAGAGGACCGAGTTATGAAACGGCAATTATTAATTACGGGATGAACAACAAAACAACACAAGCACACATGTTCCGTCTCAAAAGTCAAGTTCGGCTGGCTGTGATCCATCCTCCCACTCTCATTTCTTGAGAAATCCTGCTCTGGCCAGACATATGGTTCGAGATGACAGAGATCCCCGGTGGGAACGCTCCATGAGCAGACACATGCTTTCCCCCTTCATTCCTCACACTGACTGAAAGCACGCTCTCATTACAAAGCTCCAAGATGTTTTAATCACTGAACACATGCCACGACTGCGCTCAACTTCTTTTTTTTTTTTTGCCACATCCAGAAGATAAGAATGAACCCTGTCCCGGTATTACACCACGTCTTTATTGCCACTCCAGTTGGTGTTAACAGTGATGGATTAGCTGGGTCATAGCAGCAGAATTAATGAATCAAACGTTACCATTTTCATGCCCCCGGTGCCCTTAAGGAACGCTGAATGTAAACCTGCATGTGTGCTTTGCTGCTTTTCAGACGAATGTGTGTCTGTGACTGTATGCATCCACATGTGTGCAGACATTCATGTGTGTGCGTAGATAACTGAGATTCCTCCCATTCCCCAGTGGCATTTCACGGGGGAGTCCGACACAGCTGACCCCCGCACTCCCACCTCCACCGCCACCTTGTAAAGCGATACGGCACATGCTCAAGTTATGCATATCCACTGTAACGCAGCACGTGAAAGCGAGTGTTGCGAATGCCGTTGAGGGAGTCGCAGAGGGTGAGGGAAAGGGTTAAAACAAAGAAGATAAACCGAATGTTTTCTTAGGGTTGTTAGATTTACTGTGAGTGTCAACAGATGAGCCGGTGCTTAGTCCACATTTCAGGAAGGAGGGAACCTGTCCACTTGAGAGTGAAGGTGCAAGAGCATTCTGGGTCTGACAGTGGTCCACACATCTAGTTAAGAAATGTGGGCAGGGCGGTGGGGGTGGAGGCAGGACAAGGGATGATTTGTGGGCTATTGACTAGGGCAGCTATGGGGTGGAGAGAAGGATTAAACATCTGGAGTCCGGGTAGAGAAAATCTTCATCTATAAGAGAGATTCTTTGCATGAGTATTGAATCCACCACAGCTCATCTGACCTGAATTAAAACATATGGGTCTGGTGTGTGTTAGCATACCAAGCGAACCTAAAAATATCCTTTTAAATTCACTTTACAAATGAATTACCCAGCATTGTAACCATCTAGTTTCATGGAATATTTGAAGTAGAAACTAATACTGGTGCAGCTGATGTAACAGTTACTCCACCCTGGATGTGAGGGAGGCCAACTCCCCATTTTGACTCGAACAATAGTCATACAAAATACAAACACCCAAGCAAGAAAGTGCAAGTGAGTTTGTGTGTATTTACAGTACAGAGCGTACGTGTGTCATTTACTGTTAAATTCCAAGATACTGTCAGTTCCATCAAGATGGCTACTCCCAGTGTGCAGCTGAAGTATGTCATACCTCACTGAAGAAAACTGCGTTACATGTCACTCCTGCTCCAAGACTCAAAACGGAGAATAGGTTCAGAGAAAATGTTACAGGATAATGCTTTAGGAGACACAAAGTGTTAAAAGCCATCACTGTGAGTTGGCTGCTGTGTTGTTCCACCATCAAAACACACATTACTGGTATTGCACCACAGCGGATGACTACTCCTATAATGTGTGATAGGATTGCTACTAATCCATTACCAAGTGATTTACACAATATTCATCCAAGATTAGCTCAGAGGAGAGGAGATGATTAGTAACCATGCCAGAATTCAGACATAAAAATATAGTTAACCCCCCCCCCCATTTCTCATGAACACAAATATCAGAGAATATCAGAGTATCATCAGCTTTATTATTCCAAATTCAATTTATATGCTCACAAAAGGCAGTGTGGCTGCACACATGAGAATGGAAACAGCACGAAGACCCAGCAGCCTTCGCTCACTTAATCAATTAGCCGTGGCATTCCCTACATTCTTACTAGTGCAGCGGTTTGTCTCTACAGACATTGACTGAGCCAATATAAAGTAGGATCAGTTTATTAAAGAGGCAAGGCTGTGGACTGTGTTAAAACCGCTACATCTTAAGTTTCCAAAGTATATGTATGATTGTAGCTGATGTACACCACAGTATCTACTGCTCTGCTCTACTGTGTCTGCGTTCTGTCATTTGTATTTGTCAGTAACAACCCATGAATACACATCTTTTTTTACTCTCCACCAGGTCCACTCTAAGCTTGGGCCGATATTTGATAATATTTTGATAATATTGAATATCGCAATATTTCCCGTGTAATGCAAACATCATTTTTTTTTTTTTTTTTTTTTTGCAATTTAGCAGTTTGCCTGATATCATATATAAAAAAAACACCCAAACATAAAATACAATAATATTCATAACAGACAAAGTGCCTGGGTTTTGATTGTCACTATAATACACAAACCTAGGTCTGTTATTCTAACAACATAAACATCACTGAGAAGCTATAGAAATACATAACAAATCAACAAATCTGATATAAATACATTTTCTTATCAGAGTTGAGCACTCGGTTGGAATATTAAAAGTATTTTTGATAATTTGTTTGCTTGGTCACGTTACAAAAATGTTGAGGATTGTCATTCAACTCTTCCACTTGAAGGGTCAGTGTTCACTTTTTACATTTCACAAAATAAATACCTTGAACACTACAAAGCATCTGAAAGGCACACTACTCAAGCGATCTCTTGTAAAGTTATTAAAAAATTCCACAGCCAGCATGCAAGGTACTGATAACTTGCATGCTTAGAGATCACTGCCAAGGCGCACTGCTAATCTCTCAATCAAGCTACACTCAATTCATGTTTTCCACATCATGTTAGTTGTTTCAAAGAAAGTGCTTGTTTACTATAACTGGACAGAAAGGCATTCCAGAAAAGCGAAAAGCCATTAGCCCTGGGCCTAAAATGTTTGTTCTGGTTTATCCTTTGGAACCACATTCCCGACAGTGCTGTGCATCATACTGAGGCTCGGTTACGGACAGGTTGAATAGCGGTGTACATGGCATTAACTATTGTTACAGGGCTGGCCTTGTGACTAACCCATTCTCTAAAGGGAAAGAACAATGACAACAGTTTACAATAGAGCCATGCATCTGATGTAATGCTAGAATGTCAGTACTGTGATCACTTTCACTTGCTACGCAAAACTCAGGACGGGAGCGGCAGGTTGAAATTGTCACCAAATGGCTTGTATTATATTCCATTGTACTAAAGTTTCGTCAAGAAGTGAACCAATAGAATTGTCTAGATTCACTCCTGACTCATGGATACACCAGCTTAAAACCAACCCGCCAGAGATCGCATGTCAACACAACCCATCATAAAAGTAATTGTAAGTAATTGATCCTTTGCTCCACCCAGTCCTCTATCCATCCAGTTCCAACTGCTCCAGTAGTAAAGATTTCACCAACCCCATCTTTTTTCCTGGACTGGTACAGCAGTGCCACTTTTCTGCCAACCAGTCACTTGAAACAGACCAGAAACAGAAAGATAAATGAAGTCAGATATGACAAATGTGGAAAAAGATAAGTGAAGACAGTTGGGTGGAAAAAAACCAAAGGGTGTCATGTTGCATCACCCAGCTATAGTAATTCTGAAAACTACTGAGGCTATAGTGGAGAATTCCATCAAACACAGAGCCGGTAAAAATCTGAGTAAAAGATGTCCTGTTGGCCATGGAAGCCACTGGGGGAAGACTGTCGAGGAAGGTGAGGCCAGGGGCCACAGCCCAACCCTTTTAGAGGGCTTCCTGAGGATATCCATGGCTTGAACAGAACAGTGCTCTGCCATCCCAGCAGAGGAAACCTGCCAGATCTCTGGGTGACCTCGATAATGAGACCAGTCAGGGAGGGGGAGCAAAGGAGAAGTGAACTCAGTCGACTAGGCAACAATAGACAAAATTAGGCTATGGTAGACTGTGTTAGAACATTACTGGCACAGATATAAAGTGGCCTGGCTAACCAAGGTTTGGCAGAAAAGGACTGAAGCATATGCTGCCACTCTGTATGAAGTGTTATGTAGGAGGATCACCTCATCTAACCATGTGTTTCCCAGACGCAATCAATAATCATGTCTCGAGAGCAGTATCCAATCCTTAGGTTTAGAGATGAAGCACCGTCTAGTACATAATCAGTGTTTTCCAAATGGACAAACTACCACCCACGCTGCGTGAAACACAGCAAAACTCTTCAAACAGAGAAGGATTCCCTGCAGGCAAATAAAATATTTCCACATGGCCTTGACTCAAGACGACCTTTCAAGCAAAAACGGGATGAGAGGTTTCTTTCAGAGGAACTGTCAGCTGTCCAGGTTTGTGATCAGATCATCGAGACTGGCAGGGGGCACATTTAGAAGCTTGCCCTGGTCGAAGGCATGTCTGAAAATCTACTCTGTGACTCTCCTTCTACATTGTACCGAGAAATAAAAGAGTTATTTCAGATATGAGTGAAGTCCGCAGAATCATAGAACATTTGCCAAAGGAAGTGCAATGGAGAGGAACTGGAATGGATTATATCAGAGATCTGAAAGTCTGTACAGAAGTATGCCTCAGAAAAAATATTGTACATTCAGGCTGAGACAGAATTCTCCGTTTCCAGTCAGGCAGTTTTACTGTGGCTCATTTAACATTCAGTGCAGGAGGTTCAGATGTGAGGAAAAACCCTCATGTCTCCAGTAGCGGACGGGAACTGGAAGCAAATCCCCATTCAGACGTCTGTAAATCCAGCCACTTAGAACAGCTATAGCTTCTGTGCCATATAGTCCTAAACTGCTTTTGACTCTTAATTAGCTGAAGGGCTATTTACTCCGCTTCAACCACAAATAAATGACTGGCTTACTTAGGTATTCTTATTAAAACACATTCCACAACAGCCTGCTGTGTATGGTTAACCTCAAAGACAGGGCGCCCCTCAGAGAAAAATACGGTACACTGAAGAGCCCTTTGATTTACAGTGGAAACATGATGAAAACCTATTTTGAAGGTGTAAATGCAGATGGCATTATGTAGACTAGCTACTTGCCACTGGCTGTTTTAATGCTCATCCACGCTGTCACTTGACATTTAAAAGTAGTTCCCGAGTTCGACACGCCTGCTGAAACATACACTAAGCAGAGGACAGAGTATAGTAAGCACCAGATCTTTATCAGGATGGATGTCCATCTGCACAAGTATGTAGGCCTGTTCTCACGTGTGGGGAGCCAAGACTAAACACATTTGCAACAGTGAATTAAGTTGGGTCAACAGGCTTGGGGCAAACTGAAATTTAAAGGGTTCCCATATAGGCTCCCAAGCAAAACAAAAGCCACTGAAAGTCATAGACCAGTGGTTATATACAGCAGATCTATTTCACTTTAAGGGAGATATGGTGTTCATTGTGCTCAGACTATTCATCTCACAGGTTGATTAAAGACAGGAGCCTGAGCACATTGGAAGGATACATGTCACCATAAAAGGGAAATTTAAGTAGGAACCTCAATCACAAGTTAAAGAAATACTGCAAAGAAATTAAGTGTTTGACAAGTTGTCAGAAACCATTTACATGAATGATGCCTGCATGCAACTGATCACCAGAAGTCCATTCACTTTCAGAGAAAAAGCCACAGACAGAAAATCATCCATTATCATGCTTGTCGACCAGTTAGTTCTAGTATGAAAAACTGACCTGTTGAACTTTTTGAGTTCAACCGAGCCAAGAAGGCCGATCAAGTTCTACATTTTCACACCTCTAATCTTTCTGTGTGGGTTCTGTGAGAAAATAAGATGGTCACAGCTATCCAAGCCTTCCCAAGACTCAAGACATGAACTTGTAAAGAGATACGGTACATGGAACAAGATTCCAGAGAAAGTTGAGCTCAGTGATTTTGAAATAATGTGAGAGTGCACCATGTCTGCCGAGACGATGGCTAATGATTTTGAAATAACTTTACAGAGTACTTCAGGATGTTTATTGGCAGGATGGTTAGTTACTTAATGAATGTTACATTTAGTCAAAGCTAACACACTCAAACAAAAGCAAACTTTATATAGACAGTCCTTCATTTTTACTAAGTGTATATTCTGTGAAGATGCTTTTATTTATATCATCAACCGGTAAGATCTTAAATTGTTTAAAGGATGATTGTGATTGGCCATAAAAAAGTAGTGATGGGTGCATGTGACGCATATTTGTTGAGAACAAACAAGTTCAAAAAGCTTGTTGCTGTTATATGTGTGTGTGTGTGTGTGTGTGTGTGTGTGCGTGTGCGTGTGTGTCTGTCTTTCGAGCTTGAGGGAAAAAATGTCTAATATGAGAACAGCTTTACAGACATTTGTCTCTGAAGCAATAAATCTGGGTAAATTGCCAGGCTGGGAGCCAGGTCTCCCACACTGTGTCAGAAGACAGTGTCCCTCTCCTACATGTGCACGCGCATACACGCGCACGCACGCACGCACACACACACACACACACACACACACACACACACACACACACACACGCATTTACACACCATTCAAATCTTCAGTGCCAGACCAAACCAAATTAACACCTCTGTCTTTAAGCAGACTGGAAGTGACTGCAACACATTTGGTCAGCAGATCAATCAGACCCCATGGCCTGTAAAATCAAGACTGCTTTAGCTGCCAAACAAAAGAGCAGTGTTGCACAAACGTGTGGTGTTACAATATACAGCCTCTCTAAAGTCACAAGCATTGGAGGGATAATACATGTGAGGCAAGGTAAATCACACACAAAGATCACACTCAGTCAAAATGTTTTTATGATCAAGAGGAGCTGAAACACCACAGGGAAGTCAAACTTAACTTACATTGTAAATATGCAAATTGGCTACATTTTAAACTTTTTCCCTAATCATCACAGATTAATCTGGGATTTGTGACCTCAGAGCTCTTAAAGTGAAGTTAAGGAAGTCCAAAGCATCTGTAATAATCAGCGATCAATTAAGTTTGTTGCCTTTATTATCCAGTCTACCAACACATCTCCTCAGATGGAGGCTTCAGCAACAAAATCATTGGCAACTTGGAGAAACATCTGAGTCCGTGGCCTACCAGTAAAGCTTAGGTGACATCCTCCGAAGGAAACAAGCAGTATGGATGTACACCAAATGCAGAGCAGCTGCAGAGAACATGGCAGCATGAGAAATACACACACACACACACACACAGTACAAAGGGTTAATCTTTCAGTGCATTACATACCATATTCTCATTCGATTCCTTTTTGCATAGAGGTCCGACCGACTCACCAGCAGTCTACAGCCAAACCACCTGAAGACCCGACCACATGTAAAGAGCTGCTGGGTTTGAAACGTGGTTGCATAGGGGCGCACTAAAGAGTGTTGTTTTGATGCGTGATTTGCATGCACCGACTAGCTGGCTACACGATCACTCAATCGGCAAATTAGGGTCAATTTTGAGGATGAGGGTGAAAAGTCTCGGTTAGTCGTGAGCCTATGATGTCAGTCTATCATCGTGTCACCCCTCCCCCCCAAAAACCCCCCCCCCCCCCAAAAAAAAAACTTACCAGCATCCCCATAACGTCCGTCCACAGTTGGGAAAAACTGTCGGACGCAGCGGCGCTGTCTGCCTGGGGCTCATCGGAAGGCGTACCGGTCCCCTGATCACCTTCCATAATGTTAGAATAATTTGTGTTCAGTCAGACCACTCTGGGGAAAAGTTTGAATCCAAACCCACAGGCAGGGGCCTGATCACCAGCAGTAAATGAGTTGTTGGTGCCAAGGCTGCTCCTAGACAAAGTTGCCCTTGACGCACCGGTCAAATGCTCCAACATTACTTGGCACGATCCGAAGTTTAGTGCGTAAATTGCGTCCTGACATGTTTACGAGGCTCCGACGACAAGTCGTGCGTTCAATTCAAATAATAATTTAAAAAAAAAAGAAACCCAAACGAAAAAACAAGCGGCCTCGAGTCGTGTAGACCCGCAACAGGTCATTCGTCTGAAAACTTCCAAGCGGGGTGTTCCACAGTCCTCACCGCACGGATCCGTGCCCGGGCACAAACCAAACCCTCACACCGGGGGAATCAGTCGCTGAAGTCTCCGAAAAGTTTCCGGAAAGTTATCAGAATCCCTTGATGAGTGACGGAAAACTGTCTAAACTAGTAGAGCGAACAAACATAAGCTTATTTCTATTAAGTATTTCGAGTGAGAGAACGCCCGGAGCACAGAGCAAATCCTCCAAACACTGCGCCTCCCCCCTCTTTTCACCCGCCGTCTTTCTCCCTCTCTCTCTTTCTCACTCACACACTCCTCCCAACAAAACATTACAGCAGAAAAAAAAACAAAAAACACTTGTCCTGTGTCAGAAGCACAATGGTCAGGAATTAACTCACACCACTGACGAATCATTAATATTCCAATAAAGAGTTAATCATTAAACTTATATTTGTGTGAGTAATTGAATATAATTTGACTTTATGACACTTTTTGTTTTATCTCTAAACATGAATCTTATGCGAATGTTCAATCCATATTTGCAGTTTTGCAGTGACCACATTCTACTTAATGAGAATTTTTTTTGTCTTTATTTTCTCCTATGAAGGTTTTATATGGTAAAGTTTACAGTTAAAAGTCATTATAGGAGAAAACAGAGGTCATTTAAGGGTTTCTTTTTTTTTTTAAATAGCCAAGAAAACTTATCTCATGCTGACATATGCTTTCCACCAATACGTCTCACTAGCCAGCGTTGAATAGGGATTGTGAACAAAGCACATTCTCCACGCAATTGTATGGAAAAACAAAAAAGCGCATGGGAAAAATGTTTTTTTGGGGGGTGACGCACACTGTGCTCCATGTCAGGCAGAGATCTGGACAAAATGTTGGACAGTAACAAACACACACACACACACACACACAAAAAAATATAAAAGCTTTGACTGTAACTTCTTAATCTGAGTTAATTTTGTTTTTGGGATTGTTTCTCACACACACACATATAACACACAAGAGCACAACAACAATGTTCTCTGTGCCACAGACCTCATTTGAATACAAGTAGGATAAAGTGAAACACATCATGTACAAGCATGAAATTGCACAGCTATCTTGTCTGATCAGCCGCTTGTTATGCTCCTCCAGCAGGCAACTCTATTGTAATGAAGAAGTCTTGAGACTGTCTCTGGCTCTCCCTGTTGTTGTCAGAAGCACATTTTCTCAGTGCAGCAGCAGCTGCCAGGTCTTGTGACAGATGCCAGAAGGACCAGAGATGGATCAAGAGAGAGAGAGAGAGAGAGAGACCGACAGACAGAGAGAGTAAAACTGAACATGTTAAATCACAGTTCCTCACTCAGCTCTATTCCTTGTGGTTTCAAGCCAATCTAAAATGCTGCTACACCTGCTGTTTACCAGATCAGTCTACAACACCACGCGCCCACACATCAGAACATGCACTTAAAAGTAACATGAGCGCAGGAAAAAGAACAGACCAGAAAAAAATGTGAACTCCACATTCCGATCTGTAACCATGTAAAACGTGATCAGTTACACAATAATCCCCAGAGCTGCAATTTCACCTGTAGTGCAAGCAGATATGAGGCCTCCTGTGGATTACACTCCCACACACATTTCACTGACGTATTTGCATTTTTATCTTATTTGTAATGTATATGATTGATGTATGTAAAATTCTATTTTATTCATTTATTATAAAGACATTTATTCTTAAGTAGGAGTCTACAGGCAAGCTAGTGGCTCCGTGAGACAGTAGTGATTTGAGCTTCATCCTCACTGCCAAAAGGCTCACAATGATAACGCTAGCATGTTGTTCAGCTGGTATAATGTTTACCCTCATAGTTTAGTGTATTAGCATGTTAACTTTTGCTAATTAGCACTAAACACAAAATACATTAAGGTTCATGGGATCGTTACTTTTGCAGCTATTGGTCATAAACTAAAGTATCAGACAAGTAAAATGATTTCAACATAAGACATAAATATCAGCCATGTGGTGGCACATGGTCAGACCTTCACAGAGGGTGAATCCTACTGACCATGAAGGTCTGTATAAAACATGAACTTTGAAATTCATAGTTTGGTTCCTTGGCACAGGCTACTCCTCTTTGTTGGCAATGATCATTACATTATACACAATATCAAAAGTGTGTGTAGGTGCAGAATGACTTTTACAGGCCTCGGATGAGCGGCAGCTGCTCAGCGGTATCCTGCTTACAGTCTAAACACACAGAACAAACACGCTCACACAGGAGCAGCCTTGTTGGCCGGCGAGTCGACAGCTCGGGGGTCTGCACTACTGACCTCGCATCTGTAACCCCAGGGTGACAAGAACAGCAAGTGGTAGGACTCCTAGTGTACCTGTGTAGACACGTCTGTGTGTGTGTGTGTGTGTGTGTGTGTGAGTGTGTGTGTGTGTCCGTACTGCCATGACATCATTGCTCTGTCCATCAGTCTCCCTGTTTCTACAGAACGGTGACCATGTTGTGTTTTGTGAGGCACCACCCTGACTCACCCTCACCCTCCTTCCCTCTGGCTCAAAAGGGGTGTTGGAAGTCATCCCATTCACACTCATACACGCAAACACACACATACCCCCACTACTCTATACGCACAAACACTCTTCCTGCCAAAACCCCCCTTACCCAAATACAAGACAGTGTGACCCCACCTGGAGCGCCTCAAACAGAGGGGTCAAACTGTTAATGAGGAGAGGAGGAAGCCTGTTGACTCAGTGTACACTCATCAAACACTGACTGCTGGTGTGTGTATGTGTGTGTGTGTGTGTGTGTGTATAGACGCCAGTTTTCCCCTTCTCTCTTCACACTAACTACTAATCAAGGTGTCATGTTGCCAGACAAGAGGAAACAAAAGTCGCTTGCAAGCTATTTCACCAGATGCTAGCTGCCAAATTAATACATGTCCGAGAGGTCGACTCCTTTGATCAGATTTTTTGGAAGAGATTCCACTGGAACATTTGGCCAGAAATTAGGATGAAATGTGGGGCATATGAACATGAAGAGGACGTGCCTGCAACCAATTCACAGTGTCGATAAATTTGTCCTGAGAGTACGATGTGAGAGCAAAACTTATTTCATGGTTCAAAAAAAAAAAATTATATAGGGGGTTCTCTCATGAAAAGGATGATGTCATGAATATAAATTGTTCACATAGGTTACTCTGAACAAAGTCTTGACATCAATCAGGATCTAGTCCAAGTCCTGAGGCTTTCAAGTATGGTAGTTATTTTGACACTTACACTTTCTTTCATCTATCTTCTTTCATCTCCTCTCCTATCTATTATTCTATCTATTATTAATTATTTCGTTGTCTTATCATACATTCCTCATTCTTCTCCTGTTCTTGCAATTCCTTTGGGGTATGGAGGGGGGGGGGGGGGGGGATTACACTGTGTCATCAGATTTGGGATGGAACAGAAAACCTCTGGAGTGCACAGGGGACAGGAAGTGTTTACATCAGACATGCTGAAGCTTGTCAGCCAGGACAGAAGCCTATAGGTGCTGGATGTCCAACATATCAGTGTTACAACATGTCCCTTTAACAACTAAAAATTATACCTTTCCTAATTTGAAACACACATATTGTTGTTTAGAGGCTCTGTAAAAGCTAAGGATGGGATAAGAACTTCACAGTACTGGCAATGCCAAAATTTACTTAACCAGGTGGGAACAGGAGGAATGATTTTGGACAGGCAAGGACAGATTAAGAGTCATCTTCTGGTCCCACCTGCAGAGAGGTGCGCAGTATGTCGATGTTACTGGCATCAGAACAGACGTGAAGGCATTGCAGAGATCTTACATCAACAAAGAATCAACTAATCTCCCACCTGGGTCCTTTCATTAAGCACTGAAACACTCCCACAGGTTAAATTACGTTTAAGACTCAGATAAACATCTGTAGAGTTGGTAGATTTTCCGTAAATGCACTTGTCCTGAATTACTGTGTATCACAGTGTGTAATTTCCTACTGAAGATGACTCAGCGAGATTATCACAAAGCAGGGCAGCGTGTCTAAACACACTCATGGGGGTGATGACACGACGTGAGAGTAGAGAAAGGAGAGAACAGAAGGGAGGGGCAGAGGCATGATAAAGGTGTGGGAGGAGATAGAGAACAGTGGATGTGTGATTCAGTGGATTGCAAACAGTCACAAATATGTAAATACAAATTACACGTCATCTGGTCAACAGAAACAATTAAAACATATAAAAAAATAATTTTTGAATCTCTTTGAGGTTCTACGCCTCACAATGAATGAAAAACTGCAAGACAAGGTCCACCACTCTTTTAGGCTCCTATAACCAGGAGAAGTCAGGACTGAAGTGGTCAGAAGAGAAGGTGCATGAGGTGGAGAGGCGCCCTGAGTCTGAGGAGAAAATGGAGATAGAGATAGAAAAAGAATGCGGATGGTGTTTAAGCAAAGCAAAGCTGGACCTCCCCTGATAGTGAGAGTGACCCTTCGTGGAGGTCAATGACCCCAGGCCTTAAAAATAGCCTCTGGGGGAGTCACAAACCACGCTGGCAGGGGTGATTAACAGCATGGTGGACAGACACCAAGAGCACCACCAACGCGCTGAAGGAATGTTATACATGGCCACACAACACTGACGTGTGTGTTTACTGAAGCATTAGAATAATATTTTTTCAACACACATCCTCTATTTTTTGAAGGTGGCAACTGGTAAAAAAATATGAAGATTTTTCTTTTTCTTCCCCAAAATTGACATGTAAGATTTTTAAGGTGGTTAATGCTACATAGCCATAGTGTATATCCAGTGGTATATACAATGGTTTAAAGAGAATACTAAGTAAAAGGTAAGTATATCCAGTAGGTAACAAATAATGTAATCTCTTACCAATGAAGATGCAAGTGTGTAGTCAGATCTGTTTTTGCTCTGATTACCATATCTTCATTTATCCCCTTTCTTTAACACTATGTTTCTATACATCTCTAACCAAACCTTAATTGGATTGACTGTCCTGAAACCTTATCTCTTACTTCTCAGCATGAGTTCTCTTAGTGAATAATTGGGATCAAGATTTTCACATCATTAATTCCTCTTAGTCGATGGGTCAAAGGCCTGACAGTCCCCAGGCATTTTCTTTGAACCAATCTGCATGTGAGCATTTGTTGTCTTTCGTGTGTGTGTGT